TCGGTGTTGGTGCTGCTGCTGCTGTATATATTTCGCAGGCTACCAACACGGTTTAGTTTCCAAGCTTTGCGTTTGGCTGCGTCCAGAGAGCAGAAGGGGAAGAGAAAAAAAAGAGAATAAAAATAAAGAAAAAGGAGGAGAAAAAATAAATGAAAAAGGGGAGAAAAGAAACATCAAAATAGCATGTAAAGTAAAATACAAGCACAAGCCTGTTAACACGTGAAGAGCTACACACAGAAAACGCACACAGGACTATACAGCCTCTCCAACCCACGGACGATACGGAAAGCCTCTTATTGAGAGTGATTCTGTAAGTCTCTACAACATGACACGATTTGACAAGATTAAATGGATCTGCTATTGGAATAGACAAAACCAGACCAGTAGAAGTAAAAAAATGCAGGAAGTATTTGAACAGAGGATACAAGACTAGACAAAACAGCTAGTGCAAAATGCGATTTAATTAATAACAAAACACAGCCAGACGAGAGCTCCTTTTCCTCCAAAAGCCCATATTGATCACTTGGTGCCTGTAGTTCACCTCTAAAACACCTTTTTACATCATCACCTTTAAAAGCTGAGGTGATGATATAAAGGTCTTAAATCCTCACCACAAGAAAGCGTGTTATTTGTAGCACCGAGCTTAGAGGCATTACTTAATTATTTTGAAGAGTGTCAAGTAGACATTGATGCAAATGATGTCTGTGGTCCTCCCCTCCTCCCCCAGGCAAATCCCTGCAAAATCAAAGTGTTTATTTGGAAAGTAAAAAAATGTATATTCTTTATATAAGAGGCAACACCCTCGCTTTATTAGAATTGCCCCAAACTTTGAGATTCCCTGAGTTCCCAGCTGCCGTTTTACAATTAGCAGAAAGTATTGCTCAAAAGCACTCCATTCCCATGCTCATTAGGAGAGAGCACATTTTCCCGTTCTTTAAAATCGACATGTTTTGCCTCAAGAGCGAATTCACAGCGTGAAAAGTATGTTCAATCAACAGCATGTTTAGCCTGAGTTTCATCAGACAGAAACCGTATGAAACATCCGAGTACACCATGACACTGCTGGCACCTAACAGCGACTGAAGTAACAGAGATGTCCCCTCTTCTTCACCCATGGACATCCCCACGTCTGAGGAGGGGACTGCGTATCTGCTAAAAGGGGTATCTCTCCTCGAGGCTTTCCAGCCACCGCAGCAGCTTACCTAGTCAAGATGCAGCACTGCTTGGCATGCCACTATGTTGTAAAATCTGTTTTATAGGAGCAGGGAGGAGATCACTGGGGTCAGTGACAAATGGAAGAGCATCCAGACCTCCTTCTGAGCCGCCTTTCTCAGCCGGTCACCCAGCCCTCCTGCCCACAGACAGCGGAGAGCTTTGAGTTTGGGTGTGAGACTTCTAAAAAGGACAGCATCAGTTACATTAATTATAATTAATTTCTAAGATGGGTTTGAAAATGGAAGAGTCTTCCACTCCCATTCAGCTCAGAGGCTGTTATGAAGAAACTCATATGGTAAATCTGTAGTAAGACCATTCTCCCCCTCACCACAGATGCTCCTCACCCTTTAGGATGACATGAACACTGCACAACGTAGCGAGTACTGCGATACCTGTGATACAACCATTTTAAAATTTTCTTCCTGTATTTACGAGGGAACTTTTTTAATGCCTCATGAAACTCAGACCAAATGGCTTCTTCCACAGAAAAAGAACAGTGATATGAAGTCATTCCAATGTTTAATAAAAAGCTTGATTTTCAGCTAAAGAGCTAAGGCTGGAAGAGAAATGCCTAAACACTCTAGACTGTTAAGCTATATGCTGTTTTAATAAAGCCACCTGCAGGCTCTAATGCTCTATACTCAAAGGGAAAACGGAGAACTGGATGTCTGAGTGACATCCTTTAGAATGCATCTTGCTGAAATTAAAACAGATAGCACTATCCGGAAGGCTAAGTTAGATCTATCTAAAAATTAAAGTTCATCAAATCTAGAAGTATCTTAATTGCGTGCATCCTTCAACATGAAAAAATCTTCAGTTTTAAGACATGTTTAACAAGTCCCAGCAGGTACCAGCAACTAGAGAGGCACAATTTCCCCAGCTGAAAACTTGTTTTTCCTGAAAAAAATTTACATATAAATAGGCAAAATCGAGGTTTGGCACCCCTCAGAAAGGGAGGACCATCTCCAGTACACAAAGACCCTTTCCCGGTCCCTTTTCATTTTTCACACTTTAATGGCATGTTCGAGTACGGCTGTAGGAGTAGGAAGTGAACTCACAGCCTGGTTTTCTATTAACCTATTGATGAAATAATCCATTTTAATGTGTTAAGTGTCATGCCTTTTTCTTCTCTTTAAACAAATGGACATTTTTGCAGTGACGCTGAGGTCCTGATACATCCGAGTGTGTCCTTTAGCATTGATCAGGCTCCAGCCTGCTCTCTCCTGGTGCTCTGCTGTCTTTGAGGATTCAATAATATTATCAGCAGCAGGGTTTGGACACTGCCACGCGCAGCCTCCGCGGGGTGACTGATGTGCGTGCGAACACCAGGGCCCAGCTTAGCCATCCTACCTTGCCTGCCTTCAAAATTACATACACACATTTTTGTCACCTACCAACATGGCCTTAATGGGCACTGGCGGTCATTATTTCCCTGGTTTGTCTTTGACTTGTATCCCAGGATATTCAGTCCGTCCGGCCTGCCTTCACTTGCCTTTTCAAAAGTTAATTCAACAAAAGCTCTTGTTGCTAGCTCTGGATATCTATGTCTATATATGTAGTATATATACACTTAAACAAACAAATAAACCCCAACTGGTTTCCAATAAAAAGCTATAAGAAAGACTTCATTATTTACCAGCAACAAAGCTCCCTAATTAGAAAGATCTTCAAGGTAGATTGAAGCAATTTCTGGAAGCCTGTTTTCTTCAAAAAGGACATTAAGAAGTGTCTCTAACTAGAGATACTAGAAAAGCCCAGACAAACACGTCTCTGAAATGTCAAATATCTGGAACGAAGTTAACTATTTCCCAGAAGACACCGGGTATTTAATTTAGCTTGTACCGAAATGGCAACTAGTATTCTGCCTAGTGTGTTGTGCTAGCACAATCTGAATGACTAATGTATTTTAATAATGTTTCAAGAAAATCTTTTATTAACTTTGACACTTGCCCTGATCTCTGGCTTCGCTGCCAACAGAAAAACAACACCTCGCAGCAATCAAAGCAGTCCCCCCATCCCGACCACTGTGTAGACACGGAGTAGCAGCACAGTTTCTGCTCTTATCCAAGCTCATTAACTCAGAAATTTAGATTGCCAAGATTAAACTCCTATCTTCGCTGGGCAAATTAATTTGTGCATCCTAACGCTCAACCTGGACTAGCAGAAGAAGTCATTATCTGTCACCCAATGGCACAGAGCTCGGCTTTTAACAACCCCGCAAAATAATGCCAGGATCGTTGCAGCGTTCGACTCTGTGCAAGCCATTGCCCGGCCATTCCTCCCCGTAGTGACCCCGAGAAGAAATCGCAAAGCACCAAACCATGAAAGCTTTGACTCTCGGAGCTTGAGATGCGGTTTTTTAAGATGAAGGGTTAAAATGATTTCTTGAGTTCTTGCAAGGAAGCTGCTTTCAATTGTATCACCTGTGATGGGATGCATCACATATGTACGGGGGTATCTTGTTCAGATACACCAGCTAAGGTCCTGGAATCTACCAGATTGATTTGCAAGGAGGAAAGAATGATGAGCTTCTATGTAACTATGTCAAGTGTTACAATGGGCCATACGTATATTAATTTTTTTATAGCAGGAGCTAGTCCTTAGGTGGGACAGAGGTCAGCAATTGTTCACTCATACCAGAGAAATATTTAGCTGCTAGCTGAAAATGCTATAAAAGAATCACACACTAGCTAAACAGACACGTCCGCTCAGCCCTAGAAAGTCACACACCAACCTGGGGACTGAATTTTCCTTTCTGAGTAACGTAGAAACTAGAAAAGCATTCCTGTCTTCCACCAAAACATCACCTGCAGTACCTGGCAATGCTGCTACGCATTTGGAAACAAGTAATTCCTGGGTTTGCATATGCCTGGCAAACAAGCAGTTGCTTGCTTGTTTAATCAAACTGCCTGGGTTTGGTTTTTTTTTTTTTTTTTAATGTCATCCTACATTTCATCATAATTTTTATGGCAAATGAATGATATTGCAATTGCAAACTTTTGCTGTGGTAGAACTCTGCAGTTCCTGCATCCAGGAGAGAGGACTGGATGAGCCCGTTTCCTTCCCCATCAAAGGGGTTATCGTGGGCATATAACCACAGCCTCTCCAGAAGCCCTCCCATTTCCCTCCTTCACTCCTACTACTTTACTTATCCAAGGCGCTCTTGCAACTTTTTCATTTTTAATACCAGCGTTGTGTTTCAGGGATACTTGAAATGTGGTAGCTCAGACTTTTACAAAGTACCTTGCCACCTCTCCATCTAAACTCTAAAAAAAAGTCCAGCTCAGTCCAACAGTATAAGCCAAAACCCTTGCTATTGTTCATTCAGACCTCACCTAGGACTACTTAGAAGCAAAAAAACCCCAAACCGAAACCCCAAGAATAAAGATTTCCCAGGTGTTGCCCATGACCTCCATTTTGCCTCAAGAATTCACAGAAGCCCTGGCCAGGACAGACGTGTCCTGGTGTCAGGAGATGAGCCTGGCCTTCAGCACCCACAGAGCCTGCACTGAATTAAGACCCAGGAGATGAAATATTCTAGGCCGAACGCTTGCTCGAGCCACTTAGAAAAGTGTCCTTTTGCATCGTTTCTATCAGCAAACGCAGTTTCTCTGGTTGCACACTCCTTGCCTACAGCCGGGAGGCGGACACAGCCCTGCAAAGCAGCACGCCAAAATGCTACTTGGCGCTTCACAAGGGCTGATAAATATTTTTCGATGGATGTGCTCTCTATAAAATAGGGCTATCGTACCAGTGATCTGTTGTTTCTGAGGGGGTTGCGTTACCCATGTCGGCTGTCAAGTTTTCTTCAGCTCTGCACATAACATTATATGAAAGTCAATTCAAGCTGTTGGCACGCAACCCTCGTTCTAGCCTCAAAACCATCGTGCTGATGCACCGAGTCCTGCTTGAACAAAGCCCTGCCATCTCAGGGAAGCGGCAAGGCAAACTTCTCACACGTATCACTCTGCAAACATAACTCAACCTGAAGAGTCTTGAAATGGGACAGGTTGTGTTTCCAGGAACCATAAATGCCTTTTTTCCCCCTTCGCTCTGCTGCATCTGCCACTAGTGCCAGACAAACGCCCTGCCACAGAAGGGTGCTGAGATGCACCCACCTCATGCGACACAGGCACCAGAAAACAGCCCGGAGAGAGGGCGATTTCTACGACCACTGGGCAAAAGTCAATCGTTACAAACAAACTGCAGGCAAAGGAGCGTTGCAGCTCACCAAGCAATGTCCTGGGAATCTAGATGCCTAAAAATTGCTAATGGTGCAGGCCTTCCAGAGTTGATTCAATAAACTCAACTTTCCGGAAAATACACTTTGACCTCTTCTGGAGTTAAGGTTCCAAACAAACTTTTTCTGCTTGTTGATTTTTGAAATATATTACTCCCACCAATCTGTCCTTCTGTTTCACGAACCACACGAGAACCATACGGCTTGCAGATCTACATCTTGGACCTTTAAAACCCCATACAAATCTGGAAGGGTCAGAAGTGTTTACTATTGTGGCTTTCCTATGAAGAGCTTAACAAACTACTGAAATCAAACATGACTTAGGACACTTGTGGTTCAGTGCGAAGAAATGCTACAGACTGGCTGTTACAAACAGAGAGAAGATCTGTGGCTGTAGAGCACATAGAGCATGGGAGTCGTGAAGGTCCTTGCCATGACTCTGCAGGTACTGACTGGACTCACTGTGCTTGACCAGAGGCAATTCCACTGTTATTTCAGTTTTCCAGGTCCTTATCTGCAATTTTTCAGTTTGTAAGGCAGAGACTGTAATGCACACGCTCTGAAGTGGAAGCTATACAGGTTATTTAATGGCTGTACAAGTCTTGAATCCAAACACCACTGAAAGAGAGCAGCGCTAAAAACTGAATCCAAACAGAAGATACCTAAATCTAGTGGGAGATGATTACATGTTAGGTCTCTGTCCATTACAGTAAGCCCTGATGATAAAATGGTGGCAACAGCTCGCCGTTTCAGCTGAAGCTCTGGGAGGACATCCAGCTGTATCTGGAGACATAGGCAACGCTCCGTTTGCTGATGCTTTTGAGCACTCCACTTTGTGAGCTGAACTATAGTCAATTAACATATGTGCTGTATGTAAAATAAGCTTGCTTGTATGTTTTAAATGTGTCCATCTTAAAGTGAAAGTAGGTATGTCGGTATATGAAAAAGAAAACTAGGCTTCAGTATAACCTTTTGTTAAGATATGGAGTAACTGGGAATCAATTAAACCTAATGACTCCCAATTACCACATATCTTTGTATTTGTTCAGGTAATAACTTTACATCTGCGATCAACCCCTTGCAGACAGAGTTTCTGTATTTGCTTTCTTTAATAGGGATGCTATTTATTCTGTGTTAATGAATCTACTTTTCCTGTCTAGTTTAGTTAGGTATTGTAGTAAATATGTTTACCACCACTATGACCACACAGCATTATTTCTAAAAGCAGCAGATGCTGTTAGAAATACTTACCCATGTGTTTGTCTGAGGATACATCTGTTTGATACCTATGAAGTTCTCTAAGGATGCTGAAGATACTATACTCACCAAAACACCAGACTAACCCCCTTCAACTTGCTCAAATTCAGTTCTTTATACACTTTGATAAGCAGAAATATGCTTTTACTCTTCTAAGAGTCTTAATATCTACAGTCTCACCCTAAAAATCTTCCTCCACTGCTGTACTGAGAAACTACAGACGTGTTAATGTCACCTCTGGTCTCCATGTGACAGAGTTCTTTGTTGATTAGATAAATAGTCCTCAGATAGCTGATTAAAAAATGATGTAGCCGTTAGGTTGTGTGTCCAAGCCTTGTCAGCCATGTTGGATGTTAAAGTGTGCATGAATTACATCCCTGGAGTGTGCTGAACAGTGCTGATTAAATGAGGCACGCCACAGCCCTCAGCATCAATTATCAGAAATAATAGGATCTTTTCACCTACGCTAGAGGAAGGGGGCTGGGGATGGAGTCGGCGTGCCACTCGTTTCGCAGAACATCTCATCATCAGCTGCACAAAATAAATAACACTGCCCATTCACCTAAGGATGTTTGTTTATTTATTCTTATTGTGGAACAATTAAAGACCGAGAAGATATATGAGGAAAAACCTTCTCCCATAGCATAGGCCAGGGGAACGTTTTTCATATAATACCTGTGCAACATCTATCCAGGAAAATAGGGGTATATAAGATCTGGATGAGAGGCAAACTTGAGCATCAGAGGGGTATTTAAGGACAAACTCTGTGACCATCTAGTTGCCACCCCACTGGGGAAAGGATTCTGCCCTTCAGCCCTCCTCCTGCTCTTTTTCAACTCACTCTGCATCACGCGTGGTTTCATCAGGGGCTGTAAAACGGCAGATTAGGGATTCTTCTTTCTTGTTGGTCAGCAGAACAGAGATTTGCTCAACCAGACCATGCTCCTTCATAAGAGGCTTGAAATTATATCATTAAGATGCAACCCAGGACATCCTTACACCATGTAAACTTGTTTCTGTGACTGTGAGGGGGCTTGACACTGTCTGTTTTACCCTACGTGGAAGCAGCAATGACAAAAATTCCTCAAAAAGGGTTAAAAAAAAGGACCAGGCATATATACTATATGACATTTAGAAATTAAAATAATTTGGATACATTGTGTTTCTAGATCTGACCAACACTAAATTTTAAAATATTAAAAAAACCCCACAAAGTGCAAGGATCTCATAAATATGTACACTACTTTTCTATAATTCCTAACAAATGCATACAGCATATCTATAAAACCAGATTTCCAAAGTAAAACACCTTTGAACACTTGAACGTGACTCCAAAGTTTCCAAACATTGCCATTTAGTGCATTGGTGTTAACAGGACATACATCCCAACAGACCAAAAAAATGGAGCTGAAATACAAAAGATTAAATTGCTGCCAGTTATTCCATAAACATTTGATAGTAAGACACCAGAATACTCAGAAAAACAAGCTGCTGGGCATCAAAGGAAATTACTAAAGTGCTGAGTTACAAGAGTTGCTAGCCCAAACACAAGTAAAACTTCATGTGTCATATAAAAAAAAAAACCCCAATCCTCCCCTCTAAAACTGAAATCCTTTCCAGTGCTCTATTTTAAACTCACAAAACACTCTAAAAGTAATACTTCAAATCACATTAATAGTTAATTACCTTTGGCTTAGATTCAGCTTTGAACATTTCAATTGAAGGAAAAAAAAATGAAAACACATTCATACTTCCACTCATGACAGGGAAAAAAGTTACTTTAATTAAACATCTCTAAAAAATGTTTTTAATTCTTTTTTTTCCTCTGTAAGATTTCTCCACTGAAACTTTTGCAGTAGGTAAAGGTCCAACTAAACTATTTCAGTGCTTTTCCAATACACTATAAACATACAAGATTCAAATCGACAAAAGTAAATGTTAATTGGAAACATTTTTCTCAGTTTTTCATTATCTGAAGCAGAAAATTATGGGTCTTTTATACACACACAAAAATCCTTTTCAGCCACCTAGAAAAATTGTCTTTTAATAAAAGCTTTAAATTATACTATCATATTTCAAAGGCAACGAACAGTTAAAGCAGCTAATCAAAGGTATAATTATTTAATGACTACTACTCATGTTATCTAACAGGGCCGTAATTGCTTGGCTGTGATCACTAGACCACCAGCTTCAATACTGGAAAACAAGTACTTTGCTTGTAGCATTTGATCGACCAATTTCTAAGGTTAGTTTCTCCAATTGGGTTGACTTCACAAGGCTAGCTGAGTTATTATGGAATTAGAGAACCAGTTTGTCACCCTGCCTCCACTTTTTTTGTACGCGTTTCTACTAAAAAAAAACCCCAAATAACTGCAGAGGAAAACAAAATATTTCCCTGACAAAATGCGATTTGTCAAAATCATCATTGATTTTTTTCATTTTTAATGCCACATCACAGTTTTCTGTACACCCCAGCTGACCCCACTCTAGAATTCAAACCCCCAGAATGTGCCTACTGAAAATTATATTTTTATCTTAATTGCATTTTAGTATTTATTGTCCATATTAATCTACTCCAGATAGGTGGAGCAGCACATAAGCAGACCTTCTGACTCTGCCCCATTGTTTATATCATGTCTTTTACTACTGGAAATATGAGAAAAAGAACCTAGCAGCATCATGTATTAATTACCAGAGCTATCCAGAAGCTAAGCAAGTGCACAGTACACGTTTGCTTATTTTTGGTTTAGTAACAAAGCACTTAGGGAAAAGCTGCTTGTGTCACTGTATCTTAGCATCAAATGCTAAGTATGAACTACTCCTATTATACTTCTCTTGTGGTACTAATTTTTTTTTTTTTTGCCACACAATTAGATTTGATACAAGATATTGGGCCCTCTGGAATTTCAAAGATATTTGAATTCCTAGCCAATTATCTAGTCAACATCTTGATTTCAAGATCAGTCTCATGTTTGTAATTAGTATCATCTGAGCTCAAGTGACACCACCACCTGGGATGCCACTCTCAAAACCAGACATGGCAAGGAAGCCACCCTTCTTAACTCTGCACCTTGCACCCAAATACGACTCCAGGATGAAAGGGGACACTAACCGAGACTTGTTCACACCGCTACGCCTGGCCCGGAATTACATTTGTGACAACAAACCCTGTTTGATATGACATCAAAACCACTTGGGTTTTGAGATCCTTATTGGCAAGGCTACCATTATACAACGTAAAATGCACCATCGCTAAAAACAACCCAATGTATTTCGAAGGAGAGCAGGAAAA